AAAAAAAAAAAAAAAAAAAAAAGCACAAAATAGCTTTGTTACTAATGTCAGTTTCTACTAGAATTTAGTCCAAGACAATTCTTTAGGAAAAAAGAGAGAAAAAAAAATGTAATTAAAACTTACGTCTCTGCAAGAAAGAAACTATGCTGATGGTCTTCCAACTCCATAGTTGTCACGTCTCGAATGCTTGCAAAGCCACCTTCGACTCGCGTGTACAAATTCAGGGAGTTCATAATTGTCTTGCCCACTTCAAGATACCACGGGTCTAGAAATGGTAGTTGGTAAATATATGATTTGCACTAACGCTGGATGTTAAGTTAATCACATAACATTTAGGAAAAATGAGTAAACATATTACATGAGATGAACTTACCTTTGGTTGCTTGATACAGGTAAAATGTCGACTCTGCAAACTCTGGACGTAAGGGATAGTACTTCTCGGTTGGATGCAGCATTTGATGATCTAGGAGATATCTATATCACACAAATAAATGATAAATAAAATTAAAAAACACTATATCAATTTACTTTGACAAATTAAGTGTTAAGTTGAAAACAGCAGCATATGATATTGATACCTCTCTGGTAATACTCCGAATTTCTGCCATACATGGAAAAATTCGCGATGTGATGAGTTAGCTGCAGGAACATCCCCAGCAAGAACCTGAATACCATAAAAAATAAAAATCGCATTTGACATCCAAACTGAGAACTGGAAGAAAAAAAAATGTGCTATTTACCTGAAGACCTGGCCAAAATGCTTGAAGGCTCGTAAGCTGCCAGTATGTTGCTCTCCCTGTCCTCATATCGGCTTCATGATACCTTAAAGAAAAGGTAAAATGCTTTGGGTTATTTCCAAATTAAAAAAATTTAAAAAAAAAAAGGTGACTCTCTTGCCACAATATCGACACCATACAAGCGTAACTAAGAATATAAAAGGAGGGAGAAGAAAAGGAATTGATCATGGAACATCTCAACACTGAATAAACGATGAATGCAATTGTTATGTTGGCCATTTGATAGAGTTATTATTACCATGGGCCATGTCTAAAATATTTTTGCACCGCAACATAAGCAGATTGAAACATCCTCCAAAACTCTTCTCTCCCAAACAAAAGATGTGCCTTGAGTAGGTATTCATAAAACGAATCAACCCCTAGGAAAGGTATTAAAACTTTGTGAGGCAAGAATCTTATGATGAATTGACATTATGTAAAAGCCGAACAAGTAAAGTACGTATAGTAGAGAAAAAATTGGTAAGAATATCAAGTATTAGAGCATACCAGCCCCAATTCCGGATGAGTACTCGATCCACTCCCCAGTTTGTATATCAAGCGTAGTCCCCAAAAGATTTAAGGAACTTCTCATACTCCACAATTTGCGTAAAGCTCGTAAAGCAGCAGACTCAAATCTTGGGTCCCCAGTCAAACGTGAAAGAGCACCCATTTCAAGAATTAGAGAACCTACACCAAGATAATATGAAAACAGCTTTTATCAAGCAAAAAAGGAAAGTGTCGTGTGTGAGTGTGTGAGAGAGAGAGAGAGAAACAGAGAATACCACAACCGGATGTGCTTGTTTCGGTTATCTCATTCTCCATCACACCATACTGTATACAGCAATTTGCAGGTAAGTACTATAAGAATAAGTCATAGGTACTATAAGAATAACACATTCAAAGGGACATAATTGAAATAGTACCTTTAAATTGATCCATGCATAAGGCAGCCCAGTAGGAGTATCAAAGGCAGGTAAAAACCGCTGTCCCAAGTCCTCAGCCAGGACAAGAAGCTGATTTTTGTAAGTTCCTTTAGTTAACCTGTTTGTAGAATCAGTTGCAAGAATATGAGCAGACACAAGTCCTCCAAGTACTCTTATGTTGCACTACATAATATCAGGCAAGGGGAGAGAAAACGATTAAAATACTCCAAAGAGCATGAATAATAACAGAAGCTATTGTTTGTTCTATAGTGCCTTATCAAAATCATATTCTAAATAGCCACTAGAAGGATAATGATGATAATGATAAATCATAAAAAAAAAAAAAAAACAGCCAGCATGTTACCTCAAAAAGATTTATCCTTGCATCAACATCAAATGTTAAGTTTTCTGATAGCCATAGAACTGCTTTTTCAAACTCAGTATGGTTCCCCAAGACTGCAAGGCTGAGATTAAAATATAACAGTAGAACAAGCTAACAGCTTTTGTTTCTTGAATGGCTAAATCAAAATAAAAATTTAACGTATCAAACCTCGATAGTGATTCAATGAGAGTAAGAGCAGAACCATTGTACTCTTGTGGCAAATGTTCAAGCTAAATTTTGAAAGGAAAAAAAAAAGGAAAAGGTTAAATTGTAAACCCTAAGTCTATATCACAACCATCCTTCTCAAGGTACAATACTTACATTCAAATTTCCAAGCTCACTCAAAGAATCTGTGTAAGTTCTTGTCAGAGGTTTCAATTCATCATGCTGGAAATTAAGTGCATTGTTTTAATGACGAAATCTTGTTCATCATAGTAAATGAACTTCACAATATTCATTGGTTATGTATTTGAAGACTGACCGGGAATGCATACATCATGTAGTTATCATAGGCATGGTAAAACCTGCACGAAGATGGTAACAAGTGATTAGAGACTTGAGTTAATGCTATACCATGATTATCCGACATTCCTCGTATGCCAAATGAAGTTTCATATTAACAAATGCATCTAAGCTGAAATGCCATCAATTGCTATAGATACTAGTTAACCGACCATGGGAAGGGGAGCTGTGTCTGGCTCTTCAAATATGAGCAAGTTAACAAAGAAAGCCTTAGCGATAGCAAGAATATGAGCCTCAATGCACTCATTTTACTTGCAGAGTTTTAGCCCAAAAATATGACAAGGTTGATCAAGACAAACTCCATTAGGAAAACCTTACTAATGCTAGCCAGAGCAAATCTCATACATATTTCATATTTGGCTCCAAAAGGCACCAAAAAGAGTTCTTCCAAGCTGCATTATTAACAGCATCATCTATACCAGGAATTCCATTCCAATGATAACATCACACACTTAGTTTCGACCTTCACGAACCAGGGACAAACCGAAAAGAGCAGTAAATTTACAGGGATTCTCAGTATTTAAACTGAAAAACACCCTTTTCAGTGGCAACCCTGCATTTTTCTTCCTTCAAGACGAGCATAAATTGATGGAATTCAAAACAACTTGCCAATTTTACTGAAGCTAAA